GGGGAGGGGAAGGGGCTCCCTGGGCCTAGAGGAGTTAACAGCCCCAGGCCAGGGCCCAGCCAGGCTGCCACGCTGCAGGCCAGCCACAGCCAGGGCAAAGGAGCCAGGGCTGCTTCCTGATGGGCAAAACAGCTGGCTGCCCGGGGAAAACAGCTGGCCGGGCCCCAGCCTCCTGAGGACGGAGCGGAGCCTCAGAGGACAGCTCCGCATCTCGGGGCCTGGGAGAGGGGGGCCCGGCCCAGCGGAGCCCTTTGCAGCGGGTGTGGGCGTTGGGTGGGACTAGGAGATGAGGGTGCGTAGGCAGATTCCTGGAGCGGAGGCCAAGGTAGCCTAGGTCTGAGCGGAGTGGGCAGGGTGGCTCCAGCAGGATCTGGGGGGCTCTGTCTCCCCTCCAATAGGAAAGACGAGGGGCAGGGGAGCAGATGGGGGGCAAGCCTGCGCTCAGCCCTGGGTCCCCTGGGGACCGAGCTTGGAACCTGAGGCGGGAGGGAGCCCACGCGGGGCTCCTAGACTCCTGTCCGCTGAGCTGCACCCAGGACCAGAAGTGGGGTGTGGGCTCCTCCTCTGGCCAGGATCTTGGGCTCTCTTGGCCACAAGCAGGACAGGGGCCCAGAGAGCCCCCAACCCAGGCGACGCGAAGCTGGCGGCTGGTAAGAAAGAGCTCCTTCCAAGCACCCTCTCAGCGGTGGGCCCCGTTCCCAGCCTGCTGAGGACCCCCAACCCTGGGGCTCTGTCTGGGCCCTGGGGTACCTCCAGGTGGCCCCCACCCACTGGCAGGGAAGCGGCACCTGAGACCTCACAGGAGGTTGGGCAGGGTAGGCAGAGGGTTAATGCACGTGGGGCCAGAGTCCACTGGAGCGGAGCCGCTTGCCTGGGCTCTTGACCCCCAAGTCCCACACGGGCCAGATGCCCGTGATTTTTCTCTGACCGAGGGGTGCCCTCTAGCCCACCCCCCCAGCCTCCAGGAAGAGGGGTTGGCCCCCACCTTGGGTCCTCCGAAGGCCACCCTGCAGAGCCCTTGCCAGTGGGCAGGCCTGGGGCTGAGGCTCACAGCAGGAAGAGGGCCCTGGGCAGGGGACAGTTCTGGGGTCCCCACTGCCTGATGCCAGAGCGACGCCTAAGGCGCTGGCGCCACCGCCTGGCTCTGGGCAGAACTGCAGTGGGCGAGGGATGGGAGTGGAGATGCTGGGCGGGGGGAGCCCAGAGCTGGCCAGGCTGGTCCAGGATGGTCTGTGTCCTGTTCAGACAGGTGGGCCCAGTTTTGTCCCAGGTCTGTAGCCTACACGACCTGAGAATGAGGCCCTAGGCCCCGCAGAACAGCGGCTTCAAACATTCGTCGGCTTCAAAACCACCTGGAAGCTCGCTGGTTAAACTTCCACCCCCAGCGTTTCTGATCCAACAGGTGCGGGAGGGGCCCAGGAATTTGCATCTCTAACAATTTCCAGGTGAGGCCGCTGCCGGCTGATCCAGGGACCAAACTTGGAGAACCAGGGCTTTAGAAATGCTGTGAATTTGGCCCAGTATTACCTTGGTAGAGTATGTTTTATTATTCTGTTTTGGAGCCAAAAAAAAAAAAAAAAAAAAAT